ACTACTACTACTACTACTACTACTACTACTACTACTACTACTACTACCTAGGTCGTTCTTCCAAAGCAGATGTGTCAGCCTCCCTCAGACCCACTTCCCCCCTGCAGCTGGGCCCAGCAGCTCGCCAGCACATCCGACGTCGCCCGCGACAAGGCTCATACCCAACGCCGCACGCAACTGGAGCGCCAGCAGCTGTGCGGGCCGAACCTGGCCAGGAAGACCCAGCTGGCTGCTGTGAAGTGCGAAGTGCTGGAGGCTGGTGCAACTAGCAGTGCTTGGTGCCCCTGCCCCTACCCTAACATGCTGGGACCAGAGGTTTGGACGGAAGTGCAAATGGTCACAGGAGAGTACTAGTTACAGTTACTACAGTAGTGGTGCTGACTCCGAAAAGGCTTCTTGATCTGCAAGATCAGTTGTTTTGCGGCAGATTCAGGCCTAAAGTATAACCCAAATGGGAGCATGCATGCATGTCTTCATAAAAAGGGGGTATAAACCATGATCTGATTATCAGTCAATGCAGCATCGTCCATTCTACCCTCTCCGAGAAAGACACGGAACTCTCATGAAGCAGGTTAGCGCACATGCAAAACCTGATAGAACCTCAAAACATCTCAAAGACCCTAGCATAGCATCATCAATTTGAAGCAGTGTCACTATAGTGCAGGTTCTGAACTCTACAGCTGCAGCCGGTTGTGTTCGTCTTTTACAGAACCAACGGTCCGGAAGGGTCCGCTCTCTCCCAGGTCCGACCCGCCCTGCGCCGTGCCCTGCGACACGGGCTTCCTACCGGAGGGCAGTCGCTCGGACCGCGGTCACGCGTCCCGCCCGCTGGCGCGCGGCGCAGACGGCGTGTTCCGGGACCCAGATCGACGAAGGAGTCTGCTTCTTTGGGGCACATTGCAGATGGGGTGCAGATTGAAGGGGGTGAGTAAGTGTTCGAGACCAGCGTCAGGCTCTTGTTCACTGTCAAGAACGCCTGAGAATGGCGGCAACCCTGTCATTGGCTACTGCCGATCTTTGCTGATAGGGAAGACCCTGCACATGAGAACCTCTCCATCTCTCCATCTCCTTTCTTAAGTCGTGTGTATGACCTAAAAAAGACAAACAACTTTGGGTAACCTACCAAACGATGGGTGAAGCGACGAAGCAACGAAGCAGAGCTTGCAGCACTCGCAGCACTTGCACACTCGGACTGGGCCCTGCTGTCATTTGTCATTGGAGTCTTTCGATCCTGTCATCGGAGTATTTCGATGGACGAAAAGCGAAGCCTTGGGGTGTTTTTCTCGCCTGTGAGTCTGTGAGGTATTGGGATTCGTACCTTAGTAGCCTTAGTTCGCATGGTCTTCGGAAAAAGATGAGCTGAAAAGCACTGGAGACCCCTCCAACAAGCTTGAGTTAGGTGGGTTGAGTATTAAAAACTTACTGTACCCAATCTCACTGGATTATACTGGATTATTGTTTTTATCTACACTCCCTGAAATGATCATGGAAGTCGAGTTCACCACCGGTTTGCTCTTCGGATTGGTCTTTCATGGTCTCTCCATGGGCGATGGATCATGATTACCATCAATCACCAGCAAGTTTCAGCCCCTTCCGAAAACCCCGAAATCTTACTTGAAGGCGTGTTACTAGTAGCTTCTTGTTACTAGTAGTAATGCAGCCACGGGGCTCAAAGCTCGAAGGCTGAGGCGCCGGGCCGCCTGTGGCCCTTCGCCGACCCGCGAGGGTTGGAGGGGGTGTCGATTAGACCTTCCCTCAGGAAGGTCAGCCCTTTCAGGTGACAAGAAGTTCACTTGCATCGTCTGTGCTCTTTTGCCATGGACGAGCTGGAGCTCCTTTTGAGCCACCTGGACCAGGACCTTTTGAGGAAAGATGTCCGGATGATGTTTTCCGGTTTGACTCCTGGCTTCATGCCCACGGTTGGAGCTAGAACAGTCATGGCAGGTAACCTCTTGTCATTTTGCAACGATTGGCTGGAGATCGAAGCACTCTGGTATGTGCCCGGGATTGGCTTCCAACCCCATGAAGACAAGCAGGACTTTCGCATCTACATGGATGGTGTATGTGCCAGGCACATCCATCTCGCCAGAGGGATCCAGCTTGTGTGCACTGGAGAGCGAGTTCTTTCCACCGATTCCGCAGCCATTTCATTGAGGAATGCCAGAATATGCTTCCGTCCTGAGGTTGCTCTTTCCATGCCGTGGGACGCAGTTCACATGTTTAGTGGAGCATTTGGAGGATGGCATCAAGCCTTGAACTGGCTCGACAAACAGGGGCAATCAATTTGTGTAGGACAAGAGATCTTCCTGGACCAAGATCCGAGGGTCATGGAGGTCTGGTCCCTCAAATTTGGGACTCCTTTCCAACACCTGCAGGGCACGAAGAACATCGCATGGACCCCTGCCAAGGCAGCTGGGTATTGTGGCAGTGTTTCCGACTTTACAATCGTGGACCTTTGTCGCACCCAGGTGAATTTACTTGGAACAATTTCTCCGCCTTGTCAAAGTTGGAGCAAAGGAGGAAAAAGAGGAGGCCTGCAAGACCAGAACGGCTTTGCGTTCTTGGAAGCGCTGTCGCTTGCCTTTTCCTTGCAGATGGTGGCCCTTGCGGCCGAGTGTGCTGATGACATCGTCAGCCACCACCATTTTAAGATTGTCAAAGCCCTTGCACATGCCCTGGGCTATAGACTCGTTTGGGACCAGGTGACTCCATTCCATCCCATCGCGGCACATGCAAGGTCACGATGGCTAGGAGTGTGGATTCGTGCAGATGCGGCCACACAACTGTTGCCGTTCCAACTGAAATTGCCGAACATACCGCAATCACACTGGACCGACCAAGCATGTCATTTTGTCTTGCCAGATCGATGGACTTCGCAGCTGAAGCTATCCCCATCTGAGTGTGCTGTCTATGACTCTGTTCGATTTCTTCCTCCTGCCAAGCGGCCCAGGTACGAGAACAAGAACTTGCAGAACAAGGAGGTCATTCGATCCAGAGTGCCTGATCCGTCAGAGATCTTGCCGACACTTTGCGCCTCATATTCTCGCCAGCATTTACTTGCTGAAGGCCATCTTGAGCAGAAAGGCATATTCGCATGTTTGAACGAGACCTCAGAGGGTTTTTGTTTCTTTGACCCGGCAATGTACTGCTCGTTGTTTGGAGCCACTGAATCGGTCATCCTCTCAGAAAAGATTGGAGAATCCTTCCTTTTTGTCGGCAATGCGATCACCGTGCCGCACAGCATCCTAGCTCTCTCAATCGTTTTGCATGCTACTAGTGCTTGCCAAGTCGATCCGATCGGTCTCGTTCGAAAGGCGTGGTCTGACCGCCTTACTGCGCGCAATGCTGTCCTCTTCGCCCATGATGGATTCGTTCACATGGTTCCTGTCAGCTCCTTTTGGGAATGGGTCAAGATCTCGGACGCTGCCCTATCGGAGAGCTCCAAGTGTACCTGGAATTTGACAGGAACCTGTGCAGGGCGCCAGTTCTCTTTCCAGGTGAGCCCACAGCAAACCATTCGTGATGCCTTTCGAGCAAGCCTTGACGGCCCAAGTGCACTCCTCCACCAAATCAATGGGAGGAACGAGGACATCAAAATCCTGCATTTGTCCACTTTAGAGCAGATCGCTAATCAAGAGCGGTCATTTCGACTTGTGCTAGGTCATGCCACTGTTGGCGAATGCAAAATCAATCCTGTGAACTGCACAGCCGCTCAAACTAAGGTCATCGAAGATCCATCCGATGGACGCCTACAAGATGCTCACATCCCCTTCACGCTGCACGATTTTGACACACAGGCTACATCAGATGTTTTCTGGGCCATTCAGAGTGTCGTCGAAACACTGCAAGACGACGAGAATGGGCGTGAGGCTTCAGCTTCAGTCATCGTATTGCCTGAGAACATTGGGTTGACCACTCTTGTTCCAAGTGTTGAACGTGTTGCAACCTTGCAGCAAGTAGCCAACCTCCCGATCTTCAGACATCGCAACAAACGATTTATTTCCATTCCTGGAGAGATGAATGCATATTTGTTGATCTCAGACAAGTGTGACACGCTGGACTCAAGTTCCGTCGAAGTTATTCTTCGATTTGGCGAGCAGTTTGTCGGAGGAGCCAGAATTCCTTCCCAGGTGAAGCAGATTTATAGTCAGCTCTTCTGCACTGGTTCGCATCTTCAGCTCCGCGCTGTCAATGGACACCCTGCTCCACGAGATCAGCTCCGTTTCCAGAATGGAGATATCCTTGACATGTGCCACAAAAACGTCACCAGAGCGGGGGGCCACCACCTCAACCTCACCGCGCCGCCGGCACTGCCAGCTTTTGCCGACTTCACTGCTAGAGTTGAATTTCTCTGTGATACGCATGGATGGGTAGCGACGGACGAGATGTTCCATTACACCCAAGCTTTACAATGGCAGCAAGACTGGCTTCGTTTTGGCACTCCGCAGTTGTGGGATGTGACAAAAGGTGACTTTGAAGACCCTGTGTTTGGTGAGTTGCAAATCCTGAACAACACCACCACTGCTATTCCTGTGTTGATTGGCAGTCACTGGGCAGGAGTTGAAATTTATCGCAATGGATCTGATACACAGGTGACTTTCATCCAGGTTCCAGCCGAGGTCCAGACGGCATTGACTTTCCTGGTAGCGAGATTGCTCGACATAGCGCCACATCGTTTTCATGTCCGCACAGAGGCAAACCACCCATCACCGCACATTTGCGGGTGGAATCTTTTGTTCCGCTGGTACAGAAGGCATGGAATACATCAGGGCATTGCCGATATTTCCACCCACTTCACACTCTCTGCTGAGTACAACGACTTGATTCAGATCGCCATGCAATGCTCGTGTGAAGATTGGGCTTTGGCACAGATTTCTGTTGAGATTGGACAACTCGCTTTCACACTCAGAAAGAATTTCTTGTGCTATCTTGCCAGGCGAGAATCTCAAGGACGACCTTGTCAGCAGATCGCACTTCACACAGCCTGTCCTCCGATTTCACCTCAGCCACATGTACCTGCTGCACCACAACAGGTTCCATTTGTGCCGCTTCATGTGCGAGTTGACCGCACACAAGCCATCCTCGACCGCATTCGCCATCGATTGGTTGAGATTCTCCAGCACCCTGGCTGGATGTCATCTGACGAGCTCGACATAGCGCTTGAAGGGCCCCGGGCCATGAATCCGCAGACATTATTCTGCCCTCCGTCAACCTGGAACATTGGTGCTTCCCACTTGCATTTCTTCAATGACTACATCCCCGATTATCGTGCATACAATCAAGTCATTTGGATCATTGAGGTAAACAGACATTGGGTGCAAGCTGAAGCGTACCTACATGAGGATTCGTCGAACTTCGCCTTCACATTTCCTGCTGACAGTCATATTCTGTTGCAACCGCTTGTGGATCATTTGTTGAACATCACTGGTGCCAGGAACACCCAAATCTCGATCCACTTTTATGATCAGATTTGTCCTCAACATTTGTGCGGGTATCAGCTTGTTGCCAACATCTATCACCGTCTTGCAGCCAACACGGTACCGCTTCAACCTCCACAGCGCAGACAGCTGAGTTTTCATCCGCTTGCCGCTGAGTTTGACCGAGCTCATCATGAGGCCCGTGAAGCGTGGACAACAGCAGCTGCTGATCCACATCTGATTGAGTTTGCAGCAAATATCAGGCAATGGTTCCTTATCAGGATTGCTGAGAATCGCTTCCCGATTGAGACGACCTCCGCAGGAGCCAAAGAACATGATGATGTTACTATGCAATCAGAAGAAGCCGCCAAGGCCAAGC